TTTCACCCATCAAATTGGTAAAGACTAAGAAAATGGATAACATCCAGCGCTGAGGGGGCTGTGGGGAACAGCCCCTCATCCGTGGTTCCTTCAGCTTCTCGTGGAGAATTTGGGGAATTTTGACACTGTCCGTCAAATGTGGAATCGTGACCATGCTTTGCCTCAGCAGTTCCATTTTGATGAAGCTGTTCTGAAGATGTCATCAGTTGGATTTTTAAAAAAAAACAAAGCACAAGGATGGCACTGAATTATAACTGTGGCTTTTGCAGTGATTTTGCGGAAACAGGACTGACTGCCCGAATGTCGGCCAGCGGGAGACCGCTTAAATAAATGATGTTTGGGTATGGATTTAATATGAGTAAAGTTTTAGAAATAAAATATATGTACATATAATAACATTGGTGAGATAGGCATAGAAAAAGTCCAGAAGACTCTATATTGAAATGTTAATAACAGGGATATCTGGAGGCATGAAACCACTTTCTTTTTTTTTTTTTTAAAGATTTTATTTATTCATTTGAGACAGAGAGATGCAGAGAGAGAGAGAGCATGAGCAGGGGGAGAGGGAGAGGGAGAAGCAGGCTTTCTGCTGAGCCGGGAGCCCGATGTGGGGCTCCATCCCAGGAGCCCGGGATCATGACCTGAGCCGACGGCAGACGCCCAACCATCTGAGCCACCCAGGCGCCCCATGAAATCACTTTCTGTGGCATGCATCGCTGTAGTAGTTAAGTTCTGTATCACAAGCATGTATGGCTGTTGTAAGCAGAAAAAAAAAAAAAAGATTTTAAAGTGGGAGAGAAGGATGGAGGAAAGGGTGACAGCAGGTAGTGGTTCTTCTCTGGGGGCAGCCAGGATCTGAACCCCCTTGAAACAGCTGGAGAACTCACCTGCCTTACGGTCTCCCAGCACACGAGTGTCAGTGGCCTTCTGACCACAGAGCCCCCGTGGCTCACCATGGAAGGCCCAACGGAGATGGCTCCAGAGCCCGGCCCTCCCCCGAGGGAGCCCCATGGAGCCCAAGGCAGCCGGCGGTTGAATTTGGGTTTTCTGCCACTTGCAGTCAGAGTGGAAAATGATATCCTAACTTGAGGTAAAAAAGGGGGGTAGGGAAGAGATACTGCGGGTTCTCATGAAATCCACACACATGGACAAGGAAGCTTCAGGAAGGGCTGAAACCAGGGAAGCGCCAGGGACCCAAAGAGGGGTTTGTGGGTTTTCTCTCCAGAGAGCTGCCCTGCTGGAGTTGTGACACCTCCCCGCCCTGGGGTTCTCAGATCAAGTGCCAAAATTCCTGTGAGGGAGAATGTGACTGGCCCAGCTGTGTCAGTCCCGGTGACGGGTGGGGGTGCGCGGGGGCGGGGACACAGAGACCACCTGCATCCGTCCAGAGAGCCATTGCCAGGGCAGGCAGCCATTTCGACCTGTAACTCATTTGCCGTGGCAACCTGCGGTGACAAGGTAACACACACTGAACCGCTTAAACAGCAGAAATGTATTATCTTCCGGCTCTGCAGGCAGGAAGTCCAAGGTCAAGGCATCGGCAGGGATGGTGCCTTCTGAGGTCTGTGGGAAGAGAATCTGCCCTGGGCCTGTCTGCTATCTTTGGTGGTTTGCCAGCAATCTTTGGCCTTCCCTGGCTGGTAGATACATCACCCTGATCTCCGCCTTCACGTTCACACAGTGTTCTCCCTGTGTGTGTTTGTGTCCAAATATCCCCTTTTTATAAGGACACCAGTCATGTTGGATGACGGAACCAGCCTACTCTGGGATGACCTCTCCACAGTCACCGCCCTAATTCCAAACAAGGTCACTTTCTGAGGCTTGGGGAATTAAGACTTGAACATATGAATTTGGGGCAGGGCAGGGTGGAGAGACAAAATTCAACTGATAGCATAACTGTTATGGTCCAGGTCCAGAGAAAGATCTGGGCTGGAGGGACAGCTGGAGAGTCAGTGACCTAATGGAGAGTGAGAAGCCTTTGGGAGCAGATGGAAAACCAGCAGAGTGCAGTGTGAGGAGAGCCACAGAGCAAGCACTGAAGAAATCTGCCGGATTTGGTGATGTGTGGTGTCCTCGACAGGGAAAATGTCCACCGACTAGCCAGGGCGAGAAACACTGCAGTGGCGTAAGGAGGGCCTAGGATATGATGCAATGGAGAAAGTGAGCGTTCAAGTAGGCTGGTCGTGCAAGGAAGAAACCAGTGTTAGCTAGAGGAGGAGATGCCGAGGAGGCATTTACAAGGTGCTCATGTTTACTGATGGTGGGAAAGAGCCAGTAGGAAGGGAGAGATTAAAGGGCAGGAGATCACCAGGGTGCCGGCTCCCCAGAACGTGGCAGAGCTGTGTACCCACAGACTAGGGACCCTGCTCAGGAAGTGTGTGTGAAATCAAAGTGTGACTGCACACCACAGCGGACAGAATCCAGAAAGCAGGTTGGAAGGACTGGCCAGGGCCACATTTTGAGTCCACTATAGCTTCTGCTCCCGCTTCTCGCTGCCAGTGTTGGCTCCATTTCTGGCCCTGGTTGATGCCAGTGCCAACCGCGGTTGGCAATATTCAAGATGGAATTTAGATGCCCTTGGGTGCCCCTGAGTCAGCAGCACAGCCCGGTGGGCTGTGGCCCGGGGAGCCAGGCCTCGGGGTATCTCCCACAAGGTCATGGGAGCGAGTCTAAATGTTAAGCCCATTGTGTTTTCCTCGCTGACCTTCTCTGGGCCCAAACACCTGGAAGGTTAGAGATCCTTAATGTTATAAACTGTTTGATAATCATCATCCCAGGAGAAGATATGTAAGCAGAAAAGCAAGTCAGGGTGCTCCTCTCTTAGCTCCAAGTCACAGAAAATGGACAAGACCCCTGTACTGCACCACTCTCAGCAGAACAGCAGCTACCTCTGAGAGGTCAAAAGGAGGGTAGAGACCTTACCTTTATATGTTATACTTTACATACTTATGAATTATTTTAATTTTTATAGTCATCTTTATCAGCTCTAAAAAAAATCTTACAACATTCCATCTTTTTAAAAAATGGATTTTTATTTAAGAATATATATAAATACATTCTCTTTCTAGAGAGTGGAAACATTATGGATAAGATAAAGTCTCCTAGACTATCTCCCCTGCCCACCCCCCAAAACAATCTACAGCAGAATCCACTATTATTATCACTTTGGTGCATAACATTTCACACCTTTTTGAAATGGATTTTCATGCATGGATATGTCCCCACATTAAATATGTAGTCTGGATTTTTAAATGGATTAAACAACATATTTTCATATAGCACTTTCTTTCCACTGGACTTTTTCTCTCAGTTGCTTGTCTTCAGGGGTCATCCCTTCCTGGCATTTCTCCTCCACATCCTCCTTCCTTCCCTCTCCCCTAGGAGTAACCTGTCCCTGGTTTTAACAGATGCTGCTCCTAAGACCAATCTGCTAGAAGTCCCTGGGGTACGGTTTGCCAGATTTATTCGATAAAAATATAGGTGGCTCAGTTAGCTAAGCAGCTGCCTTCAGCTCAGGTCATGATCCCAGGGTCCTCAACCTCCCTGCTCAGTGGGGAGTCTGCTTCTCCCTCTCCCTCTGCCCCTCCCCTTGTTCATGTACTTGCTCTCTCTCAGATAAACTCTTTAAAAGAATATATAGGTGGCAGGGGCACCTGGGTGGCTCAGTTAGTTAAGCCTCCTACTCTTGATTTCAGCTCAGGTCTTGATCTCAGGGTCCAGTCCTTGGGCTCTGTACTCAGCAGGGAGTCTGCTGCTCTCTCTGTCTCCCTCTGCCCCTCCCCCCTCAAATAAATATTTTAAAAAATATAGGTGTCAGATTAAATTTTAATTTCAGATAATGAATGATTTTTAAATATAAGTACACAGTGCTTGGGATATACTTACTCTAAAAAACTATCCCTGGGTGCCTGGGTGGCTCAGTCGTTAAACGTCTGCATTCCGCTCAGGTCATGATTCCAGGGTCCTGGGATCGAGCCCCGCATCGAGCCCCGCATCGGGCTCCCTGCTCGGCAGGAAGCCTGCTTCTCCCTCTCCCACTCCCCCTGCCTGTGTTACTGCTCTCGCTATCTCTCTCTCTGTCAAATAAATAAATAAAATCTTTACCAAAAAAAAAAAATATATATATATATATAAAACTATCTCTTGTTTTTCTGAAATTCAGATATAATAGAGTGGCTTCTATGTTATCTGTCAATCCTACTTTGGGGCACTTGTTAAAAATACCATTGGCCTCCTCCCTTTATGAGATGCAGAATGTCCGGATGAAGGCCAGCCAGGATTACGTATACTTTTAAATGGTATTCAGATCACTGGCCAGGTTTGGGAACCCTGTACTGCACCACACCAGGCTGACTGGGGGCCAGGCTCCTCTCCCCGTGAAAATACACGTTCATGCTTATTCATTCCCCAGTTTTTAATGAGTTAGGGTAGTAGGAGTCATGCCTCCAGAGTGGCTGTCCCTGAGACTTCTACTGTAGGGACGTCCACTCAGGTGTGGTGCCCCTTCCCCCACTACACTGTCGGGACAACCAGCTCTGCTCCTTTTCCTCAGGCCGCCCAATTTCCTTTGAACCCGCTGTTTTTTTGAGGTCCCAGGATCTCTTACCACTCGGCCAACCGCTCTCAGCCCGGACCGTAACTCTCAAAATCAGCGCAATGGCAGAGGGCTGTGGGACTGGGGAGAAAGAAGAGGAAGGAGTCAGGCGGGGCTCTGGGTTCTCCCTTCTGCCTCTAATTCCAGTTCTTTCTCGGTAACCCAGTGGGCAGGCCCTCCTCGGCTCCTTTCCCCGCAGCCCCCGGGAAGCCTAAGGGGGCGTGGCCAACCGAATCCCAGCCGCAGCCAATCCCAGCGGGGTCCTTCGGGTGGGCGGGGGCAGGGGAGCGTAGCCTGAAAACTTCCGCGACCAGGCTGGACCAATTCCGACGCGGGAGGTGAAGCCGACTCCACACCTGGGCCCAGGTGCGCTCGCTCTGCATCTCTCGGTCGCCCCGCTCACCCGATGCAGCGGGCCCAGGCGGCGTCCGGAGGAGACCCACCCGGGGCCGAGTTCCCAATGGAGCCCTTGGGAAGCCAGGTCGCGGGGCTAGAGCAGCCGCAGGTGCCCGCAGAGGAGCGACGGCTCGAGAGTCCCGAGAGCAGCCCGAGTCTGGCCCGCGCCCTAAAGGAGGCGACGGGCGCGGGCCAGGACCTCTCCGGCGGGAAGAAGCTGCCCCCGCCTCGCCCGGCGCTCCTGCGGCTCCCGGCCCCCAGCCTCGGCTACGGCGCCTTCCGCCGCCAGGCCTCCGCCGGCTCCGAGCCGCCGTCGCCCGGCCCCACCGCGGCCGAGCAGCTCCGGGCCGGCGAGGCGCCGGGGGCCGAGCTGGCGCCGGGGGAGCCGCCGCAGGGCACCTGGGCCCCGGTGGAACTGCAGGTGGACGTGCGCGTCAAGTCCGTGGGCGTGGCGGGGGGCAGCCGCGCGCCCTCGCCGGCGCCGTCCCCGCGCTTCCTCACCGTGCCGGTGCCCGAGTCCCCGGCCTTCTCCCGCCACGCCTTTCCCGCCCTCCCGCTCCTGCCGCGGACCCCCGCCCGGCCGGAGCGCGGCCTCGACGCCGAGGGCCGGGCGAGCCCCGCCGACGGGCGCTCGGAGCCCCCGGGCTCCCCCACGTGCCGCGGCCGCTGCAGGGACCTGGGGCTGGAGAAGGAGGAGGACGCCGCGCTGCTGCACCGCGCCGAGACGGGCGGCGACGAGAAGCTGCCCCGGGCCATAAAGCTCATAGGTAAGCCCGCGCGGCCGGGCAGGGGGCGACGCCGCCTGAGCGCAACCCCCGCCTCCCCCCAGCCACCCAGCGCCGGGCCACTGCGGCGGAGGGCCGAGGGGACCCAGACCACCGCCCCGCTGCCCCGGCCCCACCTGCCCTGTCCCGCCTCGGATCGGTCACAGTCGGGGCTAGGTAATTGGACTGCATTTGTTTGCAGTGAAAGAGTAAAACCTTTCCACTACCACTCCGCCTCCCCACCGCTAGAACTTACACATTCCCTCGGCGCGTGCGCGGCATGGTTGGGAAGTAGAGGTGGGACGACTTCCAGGAGAGGGGAAGCCTTCCAGGATCACCTGACGGTGGTGGCAGCCCCGGCGAGAACCGGGTCTCCCGACCCAGGCTCCCTCCCTCTTTCCCTCCACGTATGTTGAGGAGCATTTGGCCCCAGACACTCCCCCGTTCAGCAGCTCTTGCGTGGGGACTAGGGACCAGACTGCTGGGGGCGGTGTGTGGGGGAGGGGGTCCGTTTGAGGGATGGGGTGTTTGTCAGGGGACAAGAAGGAGGCTGGAGGGGCGCCTGGGTGGCTCATTCGGTTATGGCTCTGACTCTTGATTTCAGCTCAGGTCATGATCTCGGGGTGGTGGGATTGAGCCCCTCCCGAGCTCTGTGACCGTAGTGGAGCCTGCTTAGGATTCTTTCTCCCTCTCCCTCTGCCCTCCCCCTTAAAAAAAAAAAAAGATATAAACAATCCTGGACAAGGAACCAGGAGGGAGTGGTTGGTGAGCTTGGGGGGCATGGGAAAGCTTCCTGGAGTAAGCGTTGAAAAGTGAGTAGGATTTGGGGGTGCCAAGGCCCCTTCTAACTGGAAAGTTCGGGAGGCAGAGTGCCAACAGCTTGGCCAGGATAGAGGAAGACCAGGCCAACTAGACAGGCCCCAAAGCCCCGGGGTCTCTGCCACATCTTGGTCTTGGGTAGAGTTCAGGGACACAAATCACTCGGGCTTTTGCAGAGTTTGGTGTGAGCACATTTTCTGAATGATGGTATATTGTCTTTTTTTTTTTTTTTTAGACTGGGGCGGGGGAGAGGGAGAGAGAATCTTAAGCAGGCTCCAGGCGCAGTGTGGAGCCCCACACGGGGCTCGATCTCACAACCTTGAGGTCATGACCTGAACCAAAATCAAGGGTCAGCTGCTTAACCCACCGAGGCACCCAGGCGCCCCAAAGATGTATTTCCTATCCTATCACTGCCGTAACAAATTGCAACAAACTTAGTGGTTTAAAACAACCCAAATTTATTATCTTACTGTTCTGTGGGTCAGAAGTTTGATGTGGGCTCACTGGACTAAAGTCGAGCTGTCAACAGCACTGTGTTCCTTCCCGGGGGCTCTAGGGGAGATGCTATTTCCTTGCCTTTTGTAGCTAGAGTCTGATTCCTTAGTTCATGCCCCTCGGAATATTCAAAGCCAGCAAGCAATGTTTGGCTGATTCCTTCTGCTGCCCTGACTCTCTTGTTCTGCCTTCCTCTTGTTTCTAAGGACCCTTGTGTTTAGGTTGGGCCTACCCAGAAAATCTAGGAAAATCTCCTCATCTTAAGGTCAACTGATAAGCAACCCTAATTCCAACCAAAACCTTAAATGCCCTTTGCCATGTAACCTAACTTATTCACAGTTTCCAGGGACTAAGACATGGGCGTCTTTGGGGTGGGGGTGGGGGGGCATTATTCTCTCTACCACAATGGGTCTACAGCTTTTTGTCCAATTAATTAAAGAGTCTAGGACTAAAAAAAGTATAAATACAGGTCACCCTGGAATGGAGCCAGGAGGGGTGTGGTCAGGGAGGACTCAAGCTGAGAGAGAACAGAGGCTAGGGGAGGAGGTGTCTTTTGGAGAAGGTGGGGTGGCCTAGGACCTCCAGAGGTAGTTAGAATTTTGGTGGGATGGGCAGGAAGAATGTACTCAGTGCTGGGTGCCTGGAGGAAATGGGGCCCTGAAGGGTGATGCCCAGTACAGTCAGGCCCAGCTGGAGGAGCAGGGGCATTTGTAATAGCTTTACCTGAAAAAATGATACAAAAGCAGACTCTCATTGGCATGAGCCCCCTGAGTCAGTCCTATGCTGAGTTTTGTATTTGGAAGTTTTCTTTTTTTTTTTTTAAGACGTTCCCCCCCACCCCAATTTGAATAACCTTTAAGTCCCACAAAACCTGGTTCCACCCCAGGCCACCAGATCTGACTAGGAGGAAGCAGACAGTGTTTCAGCTGCGGGTAGGAAATGTGGCAAAGTAAGATGGACTCACAGTTCAAGAGTAAACAGACTGTAACATCAGAGATGTCATTCCAAGATTGGGAAAGGAAATCGGGTGGAAGCTAGAGAGTGGGGCCGAAGGGAAGGGGCTGGAAAGAAAGGGAATGTGTGTTATTGCCATGTGGGACTGGGTGTGTTTGCAAACAGGAGAGAATTCAATTTAAGGGCATCCAGAATTGGAAGTGGGGTAAAGACGGGTTTAGAGGGGACTTTAGCTTTATGTGTATTTTCATTTTTTTTTGTAAGGAGAATGTTTTGGGTTACCTGTGTAATTAGGAATTGTTTTGGAGGGGCACCTGGGTGGCTCAGCTGGTTATAGGTCTGCCTTTCGCTCAGGTCATGACCTCAGGGTCCTGGGATCTAGCCCCACATCGTAGCAGCAGTAGCAGCATCATCATCATCAACATCGTCGGGCTCCCTGCTCAGCAAGGAGTCTGCTTTTCCCTCTTCCTCTGCATCTCCCTTCCCCCACACCGCCTCGGTCTCCCTCTCTTTCTCAAATAAATAGCTAAAAATCTTAAAAAAAAAAAAAAAAAAAAGGAATTGCTTTGGAAAGGGGGTAGGCAGGACTTCCTCTGTCTGGAAGTTTGGGAGGACGCTGGCTCTGCGGGGGGCCATTCCCAAGGTCAGCCGTGCAGCCCTGAGTGGAAGGTATGTGGGCCTGTGTAACCTGTTCTATTTCTTTTATGCATTCTTTTCTGAAAGGCCAGAGCACGCGGTCATGGTAGTTACATTGACAGAGGTGATTGGTAGATTTTTCCTTTTCTTCTCCAGGCTTTTTAGTTCTGCTTTTATTTTAAGACTCTCCATTTATATGTATCTTTTATTCCAAGCTTATTCAAATCACTTTTTTTTGGTAACAGCTTCATCGAGTTATAACAGCTTCATCGAGTTATAATTCACATAACTGCACACTCCAGCCACTTCAAGCATACAATCGGGTGGTCTTTAGTACATTCCTAGAGGTGCACAACCATCACCACAGTTGGTTTTAGCATATTTTCAACACCCTAAAAAGAAATGCTGTGTCTTTTAGCTACCAACCCCCCAGGCTCCCCCAGGCCACCACTGATCCACTTTCTGTCCCTGTGGGTTTGCCTATTCCAGACATTTCATAAATGGACTCATATGAGTCCTTCTGTGACAAGCTTCTTTCACTTAGCAGCATAAAGTTCTCCGTGTTCAGCCACTGTCCAGCACGCATCAGCACTTCCTACCTTTTATGGCTGAATATTCTGCTGTATGGATATACTACATTTTGTTTATCCATTTGTCAGTTGATGAAAATTTGGGTCAAATCCCTTTAAGAAGCAGATTATGTAATTAAAAAAAAAAAAGCCAACTCCAAAAAGGTCACAGATGGAATGTGACTCTTGTGTATATCGGTGTAACACACTGCCCTTTTCAGTCTTTGAAGCAAGTGTTTTTTTCTAATGGAAATGGGAAATCCAGGACTTCAAAAGTGCTTTTAAAGTTGAGTTATGATTGAAAACGTGTTTTATGAAAAACCTTGGAAATGTGTCCCAACTTTCTATGTGTATGTGTTGTGTGCATTCATATGGAGGTATATACGAATATGCATGTGGTTTTAAAAACGGAATTAGTCTTTTCAAAATACTAAATATTTGCTGGAGAATTAACCTCTGCTTTTTCAGGTTTTGGCAAAAATATGATGATTGAGTTCTTGGGACCCTTACGCTGGATATGTGGCATTCCCAGCCCTCGGCCCACCTTTAGCGCCTGGCAGCCAAGTGTCTGGGAAGTTTATTTTTTAAATTTTTTTAAAAAGATTTCATTTATTTGAGAGAGAGAGAGGGAGAGAGAGAGCACAAGCCAGGAGGAGTGGCAGAGGGAGAGGGAGAAGCAGGCTCTCCACTGAGCAGGGAGCCCGATGTGGGACTCGATCCCAGGACCCTGGGATCAGGGCCTGAGCCGAAGGCAGACACTTAACTGACTGAGCCACCCAGGCACTCCTGGGAAGTCTAAATTGAACCTGCATCTAAAGAGAGGCCTCTTTTGTGTCAATTGATTTCATGCTTCTGTGTCCAGGCAGAGATCAAATTCAGGAGTGCTCAGTTATTTTAGATGTTTCCAGGTGGAAATCCGCTTACAACTGCCGATGGCCGTGATTAACCATTTACTGTGTTTTCTTCTCCCCGTTTTCCCCTTTGGCCTCCCCGGTCACTCTGTCACCAGGGCAGCATCTGATATTCGAACACGTTCTCTTTCTCTCAGCCTCTGCCGCCGCCTTTCCTCCTGCCCGGCTCCATCTTGTGAGTGAGTTCCTTTCCCCCCTGAAGCCTCCCTTCAGCTATCGGGTCCCCTGCGGCCTTGAGCTGCTGGTGGCTCACATCTGTGTCCTACTCTCCCGCCTGCAAAGCACGCCCTGCACGGTGCTTCACCAGCGGCCTCCGGTGACCTGGAGAGATAGAAGAGGCAGGTGACTGCACTGTCAAAATGGGAAAACACCTTGGGGCGCCTGGGTGGCTCAGTCGATAAGCGTCTGCCTTCGGCTCAGGTCGTGGTCCCAGAGTCCTGGGATCAAGCCCCACATCGGGCTCCCTGCTCCACGGGATGCCTGCTTCTCCCTCTCCCCCTCCCCCTGCTTGTGTTCCCTCTCTGGCTGTGTCTCTCTCTGTCAAATACATAAAATCTTTAAAAAAAAAAAAAAAAAAGGGAAAACACCAAAAACACGTGGGGGGCCCATGGAGGCCAGACTTGAACCCAGGTCTGTCGAAGCTGAAATGGAGCCCACATCCGTCTCTTGTTTGGAGGGGTAGCTCCTGGTACCCTTAGCTCTGTAAGCGTGGAGGTCTGGCCTTGGTCTCAGTGGTGTTTGTGCCCTGTGTCTCATGCACATTCAGTGCTCAACAAATGGTTGTCAGCCAGTCATCTGTTCTCTTTCTCGAACGAACTCTTAGGTCTCCTAGTAATTTAAGAAGCAGAGTATCTTCTAGCATTTTCCTCCCAAATAGAAATCCTAACCTGAAGTGTTTTTTTGTGGTGTCTTGGGCCAAAGGCGGGGGGGTGCTGGTGTGTGAGTCAGTGCGGCTCCGAGTTGGGTGTGGGTGGCACTGGCTCCCTCTCACCCGTCTCTCCTGGTTGTCCCTCCCCCAGGGCTCCCTCTGTACATGAAGTCCCTGCGCTGGGCCCTGGCGGTCATGGCTGTGTTTCTGGCCGTGTCTGCAGTTGCCATCGTGGCCCTGGCTTCTAGAGCAGGTATGGTGCCTCCTCCCGGTCCCCTGTCCTCCTCTGTCCACCACCAGGGCATCTAGTCCTCACAGCGGCTTTGTGAGAATTAGAAGAAGACATCCCCACTGGACAGATGCTGCACAAAGACCCTGGGCTTGTTGAGCAGAGAGAGGGACAAAGAGCTCCTGCCTCCCTCTGGACACAGCCTGTGCTCTAACAAGCAGGGGGTTGCCAGCTCCCACCTGGGGGCGCTCTGTGCACTGCACAAACTCTACAGCCTGCCTGGGGCCCTGCCACCCTGCTTGCCGTCCCAAGGCTTGCCGGTTCCACGCTCCAGATTTGCCCCCTCACTCAAAACGGTGGCTAGATTTTGATTTTTTTTTTTGTTTATTTATTCATTTTTTTTTTTTTTAGAGATTTTTATTTATTTGAGAGAGAGAAAACCAGAGAGACAACACAAGCAGGGGGAGCAGCAGAGGGAGAGGGAGAAACAGGCTTCCCACTGAGCAGGGAGCCCAAGGTGGGGCTCGATCCCAGGACCCTGGGATCATGACCTGAGCTGAAGGCAGATGCTTAACAGACTGAGCCCCCCAGGCGCCCTAGATTTTGATTTTTTTTTAACATGCATACATTCAGTTCTTTATACTGGTCTCTGTGCTTGCAGGGATCAGGTGCCGGCCATGCCCCCAAGGCTGGATGTGGTCCGAGGAGCACTGCTACTACGTCTCTACCGAAGCCCAGGCCTGGGAGGCCAGCCAGGCGTTCTGCTCAGCTCACCAGGCTACCCTCCCACTGCTGAGCCACACACAGGTGAGAAGGAGGCGGTGGGCTGCGGAAGGATGTAGGTATCATTACAGATCACAGATTCCTAGCAAAGATCTAGTCCATCTCTACATTACAGAGAAAATCACCAAAACCTGGGGAAATAACGTGACATGCAGGAGGACCAGACACCAGGGTTCCAAGGTCTTCAGCTTACCCTCCATTCTAAGTGGAGGCAGAGCTGGGAGGAGGGGAGCAGGGATGCCCTGGCCAAGCAGTTAACCGTGAGCGTTCCTTCCCCCAGTGATTCCATAAGTATTTGTTGAGCACCTACACTGTGTTTGGCACTGGGGATTCTAGGATGACCCAGAACACCCAGCCCCACCTTTACATGGCTAACAGAGCAGTGAGTGTGGCAGACGTTAAATCAAGAAACCACAGAAATAGGTGTTTAATCACTATATTGATCTGTCCTGTGGAAGGAAGGTGCACAGTGCTCAAGGTATATGTTGTCTTGGAATCTTGTCTCCATTGCTTCTTTCCTATGTGGGGTCCCTGTTTCCTTTACCTCAAGACTTTTTCTTGGTTTATAGCCTTTTCTTGGTGGCATACACACACTGTAAATTTCCTGGAAAAAAAGTGCATGCTGGGTAAATTTCTTGAGAGCTGTCATGTCTGAAGATACTTTTATTCTAACCTTATTTGACTGATAGCTTGGCTGGGTATAGAATTCTAGGGTGGAAATAGTTGTCCCCCAGAATTGTGCTGCTTTTGCTCCGTTACCTTCCAGTGTTCAGTCTTACCATTTAATAAGTCTGATTTCTGATCCTTTTATGTGACTCCCCGACCCCTCCCCAAATTTCAGGGCCTTTATCTTTGTTCTCCCTCTGTCCTGAAATTGAACAGTCTTATCCCTTTGTCGGTGTTTTTCTTCATTTTTATTTCTGTTGCCTTATTTGTAATTTTGAGAACTCTTTTTTGGTTCTTCAAATGTCCATTTTTTATGGTGTCCTGTTTGTTTCAAGGATGCAGTATCTTCTCGTATCTCATTATAAATATTTATTTATTTGAGAGCGAGAGAGTGAGAGCATATGCACACAGAGGGAGAGGGAGAAGCAGACTCCCTGCTGAGCAGGGAGCCCGACGTGGGACTCGATGCCAGGACCTGTCCTGGGATCATGACCTGAGCCGAAGGCATGCCCTTAACCCATGGAACCACCCAGGCACCCCTCTCTTACATCGTTACAGATCGTAGTTATATCTAACTTTGTCTTTGAAATTTGTTCTGCTCCCTGTATCATGTCTGTTTTTTCTGCAAGTACCTTTTATTCTATGTACTGAGTTGTTGTGGGTTGGTTTTTTTTGTCTTTTCATGTTAGAAAATTTCCTAAAATGTCTGATGATCCTTAGCTGTCATAATTAAGAGTCAGGCACTAAAGAACAGATTGGAAGCTCTGTGTCAGGGTGGAGGTGAGGGGATGCATTGGGCTTTTTTAGAGGCAGGCTTTGCAATGGGGACATCAGGCTGGGGCTCAACTTTTCTTTTTTCTTCTTTTTTTTTTTTTAAGTGAATGCTGGGATGTCAGCATTCCAGGAGCAGTGGGGAAAGGGAACCAAGGTTTCACTTGTAAGAACGTAGCACTTAATCCCTCCCCTTTTCTAGCATAAGTACCTCCAAACCTCAGCCAGACCTGGTGCTCTGGATACCCCGGTCCCCCGTGGTTTATTTCTCAAAGTTCTGCTGGTGATCTGCTGTATTGGGAGGGGTGAGTGGATTTTGTGGGAAGGGATAGGAGAGAGGCATTCACTGCTTCTTTTTAGGACTTTTAACCAGAACTTCTTCTCCAGGCCCCTCTTCCCGTACCTTGGCCTCCAGAAGGACCTGTTGCCTCTAAGCATTGAGCATTTGGGGGCCTCTCAATTCCAACTGGAGTCTTTCTCACCTTCCTCTCACTCACCCTTTTCCTTGAAAAACCACAGAGCTTTCTTGGGTCTGCTCAGCCAGTTACAGCTGTCCAGCTACCCAAGTTTTGTTGATATTTCTCATGTGCTATCATTTCCCGTTCTTATCTCTTATTTTCCCCTTCTGTTATCATTTCAGAAAATTCCTTTCTATTCCTTTTTTTTTTTTTTTAAGATTGTATTTATTTGACAGAGAGAAACACAGCGAGAGAGGGAACACAAGCAGGGGGAGGGGGAGAGGGAGCAGCAGGCTTCCCGCTGAGCAGGGAGCCTGATGCGGGGCTCGATCCCAGGACCCTGGGATCATGACCTGAGCCGAAGGCCGGCTGAGCCACCCAGGTGCCCTCTATTCCTATTTTATTAAGAGTTCTAAACCTGAATGAGTTTCACTTCATTGGATGCTTTTTTGTGTGTCTATTGAGATGATACCTTTTTGTTTACTCCCTGAATCTTTTTGTGAATTACATTATTTTTTTTTTGTTTTTTAATATTCTAGGCCTCTTGCAGTAGTTTACTTAGCCATGATTTTTTCTTCCCCAGGACTTCTGGATTTGACTTCTTAATATTTTACTTAAGGGCGCCTGGGTGGCTCAGTCGTTGAACGTTTGCCTTCGGCTCAGGTCATGATCTTGGGGTCCTGGGATCGAGTCCCACATCGGGCTCCCTGCTCGGTGGGAAGCCTGCTTCTCCCTCTCCCACTCCCCCTGCTTGTGTTCCTGCTCTCGCTCTCTTTCTCTCTCTGTCAAATAAATAAATTTTAAAAATCTTTAAAAAAAAAAAATTTTACTTAAGATTTCTCATATGTGACCTTTTGTTTTCTTGAACTGTTCCTGCCCAGTCCTGACCGCAAAGCTGTTCTGCACCGTACAACAGGGTCCCTGCTTTTCTCTTTCTCTCTGGGAGAGTTCCCTGGAGGTGGATATAAAACTGTGCTGGAGAAAATACTTTACAGTGGGTTATTTTATCACCAGGAATAACACTTAAAGTTTCAAAAAACATGGAGAAATGAAAAAGATACAATGTAGATGGGAAAACACCAAATCTGGGATCTCAGTATGGTAAAAAGATAGATGCAAAGAAAAAACACAGAAAGGAAATATGTATGCTCCTTATTCTAATCGTGGTTACCACTAGGGACAAGGTTATGAGTGATTTTTTTTCTTCTTCTTCCTTAAAGTTTTAATTTTTTTTTTAATTTTCTTAATGTTCTGCTAATAATGTGTGCTATGTATAACTGGGAGGAAATGCCAGGGGAAGAAGATCAGTATATAAAGGTTTTGCCAGGGGCCTGGGCCAGGCCCGGAGTTCTTACATCTGTCAGATAAGAATAGGCTGTGCTGAGGAACCTTCCCTTGTGGAATCTGCAAATGAAGAACAGTGGGAACGGGAACAGAGGTGGGTCCCTCGACAGCGGTGGAGCTGGGGGAGGGGGCCAAGCCTGCCAGGGACCCACCGAGCCCAGCACGTGTCCTCAGAAAGCCTGCCTCTGCCCTGCAACCTCCGGGTACACAGGTTCAGTTCAGCATGCCCTCAGCCCTCTGAGCAAAAACCTCCCTGTGGTTGGCGTGTCCTCCAAGGGGGAGATGGGCTTACACCATCCAAACTGCAAGCTTGGGATAAAGAATTCCTGTAGAACTAAGCAAACTAAGGATCAATTATTTGAAACATAAGTAGGTACAGAAAAGCCTGGGTAAGCAACTTGCAAAAGAACCGAGAATTTGGGTCCCAGGCAGTTAAATTCTGGACTGTGATGGCTGGGGAGCTCTGGCATCCTGAGCTCTGGACGAGGGCCAGAAGCTCCAGGAGGCACTGGGGCGGGGCGGGGTGGGGGGGTGAGGTACAGCTGGAGACAGGCTGGCAGAGGCAGTGGGCAAAGGCCAGGATCCAGGAGCTGGGACGCACACACCCAGGGACATACCTGTGGTGCCAGTGGTACACAGAGCCCTCGGAGAAGCAAGTCTCATCCTCCCCAAGAGCTGGGTTTGCTCACGGTTAGAGAAAAGGGAGAAAGTTTAAGCGCTGTCTGCGCCCTTGGTTTCAGCACAGCTGTGTTTCCTAGGGTGCAGGGAGCACCAAGGACGCACGGGCACTGTCAGCCACACAGGCTGACTGCAGAAAGGTGGAAAAAACACGAAGAAAGACCCATCTGGGGTTAAGACAATTAACTAATCGGAGCATTTGAAAACGAAAGCGGAAATGTAGGAAGGCAGAGAGCAGAGTGAGGCTGGGGGGGGCGGCGGTGTGTGAATGCGCACCAGGTCTCCCCCGAGGGAGATGGGAAGGTTCTGGGGGCCGAATGGTGACACAGCAGTGTGAATGACCGCAATGCCACCAACCTGGACGCTTGAAAATGGTGAAAACGCTAAATTCCGTGATACGTGATACGATTCTACCACTTTTTAAAAAAGAAATGCTTGAGGGCAGAGCAGGTAATTTACCTCCGTTTTAAGATGCCAAATGTGGGATTTCAAGTACATTCCGCTCGGGCTACCGTCCCCACGCGGCCTGACATTGGTGGCGAAGTTGGAGGAGCACCCGCGGGATGCCGTGGAGGCCCCGGGACGGCGGCGGTGGCACGACAGCACAGTTCTTTGAACCACATAGATGATTTGCGAGTTTCTGGAATTTTCGACTCTGGATGATGCTAGCGGTGAGAACAAGTGAACTGAGTCAGAGCTGTGAGGAAGGAAGGGTGGAAAGGAGAGGGCGGGCAGGGACAGGCCACGCCCCTGTCATGGGAGGCCCGGAGGTGGAAGCGAGGGACAGCCGGGTGGCCTGGGGCCAGGACTGAGGGCAGGGGCCCCTCGGCAGTGCTGGGAACATCAGATGAGGTCCCCTGTGTCGGGGGCTGCGTTTGTACACCACCCGGCCGAGCCGTGGACCCTGTGCCCTTGGCTTTGTACAGATCCTCTCGGGCCTCCGTACGGATGGCCCCCCCGTTTCAGAAGCCCATACTGAAGCTCTGAAAGGTTGGGTACTTGCCTAAGGCCCCACACACCCGGAATTTGACTCGGGGGTGTCCTGGCCCTGGGAGAAGCCCCACGTCCTGGTGTGCCTTCCCTAACCAGCCGCCGCCCGCTCCCAGGAAGGGGGTGCCGGCCGCAGGAGCCCCCCCTGCTGCAGCCAGTGCCCAACGCGGCTCTGCCCTCTGACTCACCTGCCAGCCGCCGCCTCGCCACAGCTCCCTGCCCAGCCCTGCTGGCGGGCCCCAGCCCGGGCTCCGGCCGACGTGCGGCCATGTGTGTGCCTTCCCTGTCCTCGCCGCGGTCACTGTCCCAGGTAGGAAAGCGACAGGCCGTGCACCAAGCTCCGGAGTCCGGCTCCAGCGGCCCGGGGGTGGGAGCTCACCTTGGAGGGGGTGGGCACGCGGTGTCCCTACAGGAAGTGACTTTTACACTGAGACCCAAAGGACCACTAGGAGTGGCACCAAGGGGACGGTCATTACTCTCGTGCTTACTTTCTCGTTCTTTCTCGTGCTAACCCTGGTTACGTATTAACCAGGGTTAAATACGGAGGTTTTGGCTTCCTCAACTTAAGTTTTCTAGGGAAGAGCTGGGCATACATTAAACTCACATAGGACAGTCTCCTAATTTTCCCTCATGAATAGAGGCTCCTGGATGTTGTGAGCAACGTGTACTTCCTGGTCTGCTTTTCTTCACTCAGTGTGATTTCATAGTGACATTTTCCACGTACTTGGCATCTTGAACAGCATTGTAATTTTCGATCATGTCGATGTCCCGTAATGTGCCCAGTTATTTCCTGATTGCTGAGCATTTGGGTGGTTTCCATTTTTTCTTTCTAAGTAACACGGTGTTACCTTTGGGTTAGTTCATTTTCTCCCCTTCATGTTCTTGAATTTATTCTCCAAAGTGGAATCACTCATCGGAGTGGTAGGAAGGATGTGACTGTTCATGTGACGTGGCAGCAAGTTAGGTTCTGGAACTGCGCTGGCTTTGCGGCCTCACGCCCGGACTTACAACATTAAAGCATCTTTTCCCAAGCTAACCATTTCTAAATACCATTTTTTCCTTTAGTTAGTTGCTAAAAACAAGATGATGCCAAGGACAAATATGTAAGAGAAAGGTCATCGCTAACAGTTCTCTAACGCACTGTGGTTCTTGTCATTCCTTATACGTCTGCATTCTTGTGCCAACACGGTTTGTCTTTACTGTAAATCATGCCACAACTCGAAGTCAGCGTTTATACTCATGGTAACCCCTGATGTCCTATAACTTGCCTCTCATGGCTCCACGGTCTTTGTACTTGTCTTTCTTAAAAACGTTCTTAATAATGTTGTGCTGAGCGGATGCGACGTAACTGAGAAGCGCGCTGCTGGCCCTCTGCTCCCAGCCGCATGGGCCCTGGCCCTCGCCTCTTTGCTACCTGGATGTGCTTTGTCCCCTCAGTACCCATCTTGCAGTGCCCGGTGGGGACCGACGTTAACATGCTCTCTCCCTTTGAGGCTGAGATGGGATCCCCCCGCCCATTTCCAGTCCCCATTGTCTGCTGACCAGCAAGCATCCAATACAGCTTTCCAATTCCTGGTGTTTGGGGAGAGCTGGGTTGAGCTGGGTCCGTTCTCTTGGTGAGCTGTGAGCTGGGAACTTGTTGGGGATACGGTGGGGAGGGGGACACAGAAGCCCCAGGGGAGCCTTACTAGTGTTGGAAGAAGGGTGACCAGCTGCTTTTCTCCTTCAGGACTTCCTGAGCAGATACCCAGTCACCAAGTACTCCTGGGTGGGGGCCCGGCGAGGCCCCCAGGGCTGGCGCTGGATCGACGGGGCCCCACTATCACCCCCGCTGTGAGTGACCATGGGCCTGGGTGGGTGGCCTCTCTGTCCCCAGTATGACCAGAATGACATCACAGTAGACGCCAAAGAGGGGTTGGGGCCTTCCCCTCTGCTGGCACCTCCCCCACTGCTGATCTGGATCCACCGTCTGTCTGTTCCCAGATTCAGGCCCCTGTTCCACCACCAGCCTCGGGTACCTCTTGGGAGACACCCTACCCTCCTTGCCCCACCTGGCTTGGAGCCTTAGTGTCATTTAGTCCCGGTCACCCCACCCCTTGTTTGGGTCTCCAGAGCATTCACCCAAGCAGGATCATCACCCTGTTCTGTAGATAAGGGGTGCTGCACAGAGGGGTTTGGGTGGTTTCCCGGAGCTATGGGGCATCCTCGTGACTCCCACCCCAGGGCCCTTTCCAGACTCCCCGGCCCTGTGCAGTGATCAAGCCATACCCATTGGCAGCAGGCAGACAGGCCGGCAGGGGCCGTCATCCTGAGCTCTGTCCCTTCTTCTCACCCTCCCCAGACTCCCAGAGGAAGAGGAGGACCAGCCGGATCTCAAGTGTGGGGGCCTGGAGGGAGGCAAGCTGGTAGCTTTGGACTGTGCCTCTCCAAGACCATGGGTCTGCGCCAGGGGGACCAAGTGACTTGGGTTCCGCCCGTCCTGAGACTTGGGGGCATGCAGCCCCCCCAGGGGAAGCCAGGTTGCTGGCTGGGGCAGCCTCTTCCCTGGACCCAGACTTCCGGGTCTCCCTGCTCTGTGCTCAAGGGGCCCTTTCTGAGCCAACCAGGGACTGGACTTCCGGCTCAGGCAGGTGACGTCCAAGGGCGAGGAGGCTTTCTGTGGCCCTTCCAACTTCTGAAGCAGTTCCCTTGGAATGGTTCTCTAGCATTTTTGAGCCTAGGTTTCTCCCTCATTAAAATAGCCATTTCCTATCCTCTCTGTTACCTGCTTGATCATACCTGCACACCCCCTCAGTCTTGGAGGACCCGAGGCCTTAGCGATCCCAGTGCTGCCCGGCGGTTCTCACCTGAGCGCAGCGCCCGAGCCTCCGCTGGGATGCCACCTCCAGGCGGCTGGGCGCGTGGCCGACACCGCTGACCAACAGCATCTGGAGGACAGCAAGTGAGGAGTGGTCGCCCCCGGAGGAGGGAAGAGGAGGGTTTCCTTCCGGGCCCCGAGCTGGCAGAGAGTAAGGTTTGCGGTGTGCGGCGCTGGCGGGGCTTCTGAGCAGCTGATGCCCAAGGTGGCAAGATGCAGAGGACGGGACCCCCGAACCCCCCCGGCCCGGGCAGGAGAACCAGGGAGCTGAAAGGCGTGGGGTCCGAGTGAGGAAGGAAATCAGAATTGTGGGGAGATTCGAGGCAGCTCTTCCACCGGCAAGTGTGGGAACACCAGCCTGAAGATATCTGTGTTGGGGTTCAGGGAGGGGCCTTCAGGCCAGAGGGAGTGGCCACAGGGGGGGCCGGAGGACTGGTTTAGTCCCTGCAGCCTGTCCAGACCTCTCTCCCAATGACCGGAGACAGTACCTGCATCTTATCTTGGTGCCGAGCCCTCGACACAACTGTCCTGGGCCAACCGACCTGCCTCTTTTGGGGCAGGCCATGCATTCAGCTTCCTCTCAAGCAGAAACCTTTACTGGTCTATTCACACCAACCGTTGGTACAGAATGCACGGGCTGGCCGGCAGGAAGGGTGGGGTCCTAAAAGTGCACTTGACAAGCAATAGAAATCTTAGAAACACTCTGGTGTTTCTCATGGCTTTCCTACTCCAACTACAATTTAACTCTGGAGCTTGGTAACAGGTTCCATTCACACCTCAGCCCTACTCAGCAAGGTCCTGAGCCTGGCGCTCTGGCTGCTCCCAGCTCAAGGCCAGGGACCACAGGTGGGGGACACCCGGGGCACAGGTGGCCAGAGTGGGGCAGCTGGTGCCACAGCCTGGAAGACCTAAAGTTTTTAAGCTTCACCTGGTAAGGGGAAGGAGAGTGAACTTTGGATCTACTTGTCCTAAGAAGCTACTAGTTCTTGTCCAAAATAGGCAGACTAAGAAATAGCAGTGTAAGCATATTATTTAGAAATTTGGAGGGGTGCCTTGGTGGCTCAGTAGCTGAGCATCCGACTCTTGGTTTTGGCTCAGGTCATGATCTCCAGGTCCTGAGATTGAGCCCCGCCTCAGGCTCTGCGCTCATTGTGGAGATTCTCTCTCCCTCTTCCTCTGCCCCTCCCCTCCCCCTCAAATAAATAAATAAAATCTTAAAAAAAAAATACGGAAAAAGTACTAGAAGAAATGGCAAAAATAACTTAAAGTGGTTGCCTTCACACTAACTGATGTGACAGAAGTGAGAATGGTGGTTATGTGGGGAAATACGAACTGAGAGGGGTCCCCAGTGGACTTTCTACGGTGCTGGAAGTGGTCTGGGTCTTGATTTGAACAGTCAGGTGGACACATACATAAACATTCATCAAGCTGTACACTTAAAAAAATTTCAGTGTCCCCACCAGGAATAAGATTACAGAAGGACCGATGTTCTTTGTTTTTTAAATATGCATACTTTAGTATTACTAAAGCCATATTCATGGGGTTTTTTTGCTTAAGAGCCCGTATTTATGTACTACTATGATTAAAATAGGAATTAGACTTTTTAAAAAGGTCCACAAGATTCTGACACACAGCCCAGCTTGAGAATTGCTGGCTCACGAAGTGAGTCCTGTGGCCGCCCCTGCTTACAGCCTGTCATTTTTCCTTCGCTGAGTGAGAGGCCTTCTCACAGGTTCCAGCCTGACCGTCAAAGTGCATCTTTCCCTTTCTGCAAAACAGGCTGGGGAGCTTACGCAGCAGCTTGGTCTGCATGGAATTCTTCCTGAGATACTGCTCTAGTCTCTCTTCCGACCAGGCACCACCAGCTGCTGGTGTGCGAGAGCCGTATGTCATCATGGCCCTGCCAGCACTGGCTGGGGTCACAGAGCTGTGGGGACCGGCCACTGGCACAGGCGGGTCCAGCAGCCTCTGGGGTCCATTCAGATGGCCGTCCAGTGGTGGAAGAGCTGCCAGTGTCCGGCATATTCAACTTCTCCTCCACCCCGTCCTGAGATTCTGATTCAGTGGGTCAGATTTTTACCAGCTTTCCTGGTGATGCTGAAGCAGATAATCCAGAAACCACATTTTGAGAAACCCTGTCTAAAAGAGTCCATGGGGCGGGGAGGGGGGGGATGTAAACAGATTTTAATCAACTTTATTGAGATACAGTTTGACCAAAAGAAAATGTACCTATCTCAGGAGTACTTTGCAACAAACATAGCTGCCTTTGTCACCACTGCCAAACGAGATACAGAATATGTCCCACAGGCCCCAGAAAGTTCCCTCATGTCCCTTTGCAGCCATTCCTCCTTGACCCCCAGTCCCAGATGAATCTGTGTTCTGTCTCTACAGGTAAGTTGAACTTGTTCTAGTATTATAGGAAAAAGGCATATAGTATGAACTTTTGCTAAGGCTCGCTCGCGTCGCTGCACGGGTCCGTAGCTGTTTGCTCTGCAGGGGTGGACCCCACTTTCTCTCTGCTCGGGTTGGTGATCTTACAGTCATCCCCAGGTTTTGGCTGTTATGAATATAGCTGCTCTGAACATTCGCATACAAGTCTTTGGAGGTAGGTTTTCCTTCCTCTTGGTACCCAAGAGGAGGATTACTGGGTTGTATGGTAAGGATGTGTGTGTAAGAAACTGCCAGATTGTTTCCCAAAGTAGCTGGACCATTTTATAATCCCTGCACCAGCACAGTCTGAGTTCTCGCCATTCCCCATCTTCATCAGCCCCGATGTTGCCAGTCTTCTTCGCTGTGGCCATTCTTGTGGGTGTGAAGTGCTAGCTCAGTGTGGTTTCTGTTTGCATTTGTTTTCATCCAGTGTCATCGACACATGTTACATTAGCTTCAGAGCACTACAGTGATACGAGTCTGTAATTACATTGGCCTTTTCTGGATGCCTGATGTTGAGGTTCTTTTCATGTGCTCATTGGCCATTCCTCTGTTTTCTTTTGTGATTCTCATACTGATGGTGAGAGACCATATTTGGAAAAACCCTGCCTGAAGGACAGAACATCTTTATTATTTTTTAAAGATTTTATTTATTTGAGAGAGAGCATGCATAAACAGGGGGAGGGGCAGGAGAAGCAGACTCCCAGCTGAGCAGGGAGCCCGACGTGGGGTTCAATCCCAGGACCCCGGGATCATGACCTGAGCCAAAGGCAGACACCCAACCGAGCCACCCAGGCACATTCCCCCGACAGAGCATTTTTAAAGTGATGATTTACATGGAAAATCTAAAGATCTCCCTCAACTTTGTGAAAATTTTCAAAATGGACTGTTGAAAAAGATAGGATGAACTCCTATATGCCCTCTACCTAGATCTAACAAAGTAACATTTTGCCACATTTACGCTTTGTGTGTGTGTATAAATTTGCTGAACCATTTGAAAATAAGTTGTAGGCTTCAAGACTTCACCCCTATATGCTTCGGCATGCATCTCCTAAAAATAGTTGTCTTTTTCTATGTAATTGTAATTCCACCATTATTACACTTAATCAAATTAAGTTTGCATTCAATCCATGTTCCAATATTCCTGATTGTTCCACTAATTTATTTTATTTTTTTTTAAAGATTTTATTTATTTATTTGACAGAGAGAAAGAACAAGTAGGCAGAGAGGCAGGCAGAGGGAGAGGGAGAAGCAGGCTCCCTGCTGAGCAGGGAGCCCGCTGTGGGACTCGATCCCAGGACCCTGGGATCATGACCTGAGCCGAAGGCAGCCGCTTAACCGGCTGAGCCACCCAGGCGCCCTCCACTAATGTATTTTATTTTATTTTATTTTATTTTTTTTAAAGATTTTATTTATTTGAGAGAGAGAGAATGAGAGACTGAGAGCACAAGAGGGAAGAGGGTCAGAGGGAGAAGCAGACTTCCCGCTGAGCGGGGAGCCCGATGCGGGACTCGATCCCGGGACTCCAGGATCATGACCTGAGCCGAAGGCACTGGTCACCAACTGAGCCACCCAGGCGCCCTCCACTAATGTATTTTAAACAAAGATCCAGTCAGGGTCTCAGCACTGTTATTGGTCCCTTTAATCTCTTTAAACCTAGAACTTGTTTTCTGAAACACTTGAGTTTTTGAACAGACAAGGCCAGTTGTCTTGTAGAGTGACAAATATTCTGGATTTCTCTCGTTTCCTGTAAGCTGCAGGAGTTAGGCTTAGATTCACTATAAACATTTTCAACACAGGAATATGTTGTGACACTGGGTACTTCTTAATTTATCACTCAATAGATTTTTAACACTGATTTCAAGCAATTTGTACCAAAACTTTCTCAAAAAATTCAGGGAACTAAATTCATGTATCCCAACTTGGATACATATGGGCTTGTCATCGGTTATTCTCAGCTTTAGAGGCAGTATCAAAATAAAACGAGACTATGAGAAGGGTTTTAGAAAGGGTACAGTCCTATGCCTAGTGCTGTATACGATTCCACCTTCGTTTGTTGGGCCTTTTCTGCTCCCTCCTGGAGAGTTTGGGAGGCACCTGACCCACCTAACCAATCCTGCCAACTTTGTGGTGCCAGACTCCTGGCCAGTGTTGGGTTCCAGAGCCCAGGCCTAA